TTACATTCTACAATAGTGGCACATGTGTAGTAGAACCACGTGTGAATAAAACCGTATATTTCATTACGCAACCAACTGCAAGAATTAGTATATTCATACATGAATGGTCAATATAATATCTTCGACAGCAACCGATATCTGATTTATTCTATCAATTGACCTTGTTATGCATGGTGGGATAAAGACTAGACTAGATACAGAGACGTGTTGAAATTAAAAATTAACCTTAAATTAACATTGTCACCAAATATCTATACTTACATTTTCTAGAAACGGTTTAGTGCTTGAAATATTTTTTGAAAATGTTGAATTTTTATTTTTTTTTCTTTAAATGTCAATAACGATTCATATATTCGGTCAAAAAGTTTAAAAATGTAATACATGGTTCTTCAAAAGTTTTTCTTTCTGGAATTTAATCTCAGTGTATAACCACATTATTTGGTTTATCATATCCATAGGATAAACATAGAATTTTAAAATTGTAAATTGTTTGTACATTTTAAAATGTCCATAACTAGCTTTAAAATTGGAACATATAAAAAACTTGGTCGCCCACTACATAATATTCGTACTTTTAAAATTGGTAATAGGTCAACTCACTCTAAAATTAAACATAACAGAATTAAATTAACTATTCAAAACGTACGATTTGCTATATTATGTGTTCGTATGACGGATACAACACGGATTTGTCTGGGTGTCATCCTAAAGATTTAAGCAAGAAGTGTATAAAATCCCGTATATTTATATACATAATAATGTATGTTAAACTAGTAATTCTTCGTGAGACACCCTGTATACTAATAATATAAGGAATTAAACATTTTTATATTTTCTTATCTTTAAGCGTATTACTTCATTTTTAATCGATATTAAAATCGGGTTTATTCAAATATTTTGTACTACGTTATACTAAGGTACAAATGTTCAATTATGAATATTTCTATGAAAAGTCAAACGATTAAATAATACACACAATAAGGTATAGCATTTAAAACGCAATTTCCCATTTTTAGCAAATATTTGAAAAAAGTGTAATATTTTCAAGAATAAGCTGCTTAAATAAAATATTATAAATTGATTACACATTTTCACGAAACAATATGTTCGTCTATAATAGTGTGTGTGCAGGTCGATAAAATATAACTTTAATAACTGATAATTATTAGAAATAAACGCACGCGAGTTCAAATAAAAATACTCCCAATGGATGTAAATAATAGATGTATGTGTTAAGAGTTTATAAATGAGCGTGACTGACAGTTGACGAACATCTATATTTTGTAAACCTAAACTTATTGTACAAATGAATGAACATCTTCCAGTACCTATAACTACGAAAAGTGTTAAGTGTATACTCCAAGGTTGCGCCATAGTATTAAATATTATTATATTGTGTGTACCTATATTATAAATATGTATAGGTATAGGTGTATATAATGGTACCTACTATAGTTGAAACTGGAAATAAATTCTTCTTCAAACCGGTTTTAGATGTGCGTATGTTGTGCAAGATTTTTTTCACAGCCTTTATTTTTAATGCAATAATATGTTAAATTATTTAGTCAATGTAAGATGTGTACTATGCTTTCTAAAATAAATGCTCACAAACCGACGTCGGATGTGGATGTTCATGTCAAAATAATATTTTACAGTTTCAATATGTATATTTATAGAATAAAATAGGTAATTGTAGAATTTTTTCGACACCTAAAACATTTTTTAAGCAATAATATCGTTTAATAATGATTAATAACTTTGCAAACATATAATAGTAACCTTGGTCTGAATGAAATACCTGTAGATAGTCCCCTTCAAAATTATTATTATTATGGTGTATTAACCCATTAAAAATTGTTTCTAAATATTTGAATTTGATTACTTGGTGGAAGCTGCCTATTTATATATTAGAGTTAAAATGTCATTAACAAAATTATATACATACTCAAGGGTGTAATTAAGGGAGGATTTGGGGAATAGACCTTCCAGGGCCTTTATTATATATCTTTAGTTATTAATTTGTAACTTATGGAGTTATTTGCTGACAATCTGACATCATTGCAAAATAAATTTAAATAGAATTTCCTTAATAATATACTTAATGAATATAAATAAATCTATAAATAGGTATGCACATGGTAAAAAAATGTCTATCCCCTCCCCCTAAGACAAATTCCTAATTACACCACTTTACACAATTATTTCATGTCTGTGGGCAAATAGAGGCATTTGCATTCCCGTGGACTTTTTTCTTGGTACTTTTCACTGTTAAGTTTCAGGTCAATTACATCGACATATTATGAAACTTTATGGTAAGAACATTATCTGTGTTTGTTTGTTTTTTAGGATTTTTAAGTGAGTTATGAGCATTTTTAATTAACTCTATATTGTTTACGCTAACTTGCTAAAAAATGTAACCATCGTAGAAAACACTCAAACACAGATAATGTTCTTACCATCAACTTGCATACTTAAAAATTCTTGAAGACACCTTTGATTATGTGTTTCAATTTATTCAATTTATTTTCTATAGATACCTCTCAAAAAATTGTATTTATATAACTATAATACTTATGAAACTTATCTAAGCGATACAAATTGATTATTCACTTATATTAGATTATCACGAGGGAAAATATTTTAAAAGTAACCCAACTGTCCGAATACAGTTCCTGGAAACATTTCTTAAAGGTTTACAATATAAAATATGTATAAAAAAAGTCAATACCGATGGTTACAAATGGTTATTTTAAAATATATACCTACAATGTACAATACATTATATTATACACGTTATCATAAGATGTGACCGCTGACCGAAATGTAAACATTAATCTGAATGTGATTATAAATATCTTTCCGAAGACAAATCACCGGGTTCATTAAACAGTTTCGTTATGGTAATTATTTTCAGTGGTTGTTAACCGGTGTTACATAACTTCGTATGCATTTATGTATAATTATAATTATTGATACTTTATGGTTTTCATCATTGCATGACGTAGATGTACCATACTACCATGTACATCTTAATCATATTACAAACCATTAAAATCAAAAAGCAATTTAATAAAATATTAAAAACATGATTAATATAATTTATTATAATTATTTTTCGTATATCACTTCCTTAATAATATGAACAGTAATATATGATATAAAAAACTGATTTATATAAACTAATCTAATTATAAATTTAAGAAAAAAATATAAACACACATCACGCTTGCAACCATTGTTGTTGAAGCGAATTGAACAATAAAACAAAAATATTAATATATGGTCCAAATCCGATCTCCAATGACCGTCGACTGATCTAACTTAATTACTATATATACTACTACATATATTGTGGTATGTGGACAATATACTAATGTTTAAAGACCAAAGTCTAAGTTGAATATTTGTAAAATGCTTTAAGCGTAAATAAGTCTTTATACAAATTCTGTTTTTCTTGAAAAAATTATACTTGGGTACCTACTTCAGGTACAAAATAATGAAACAATCAAGATTTTTAATGAAGATATGGAGTGTATCGTTACGTATTAGAATTTGGTTCAATAAAACGTTTTAATAAGCGTTCAAGAAATTAAACGTTCAGTATACGTACCGATACGCAACGAATTTTTCTTCTTAAAAATCTTGAATATTTAACTAATCATATTATGTTGACCATATTAAAAGACAGTTGAAAAATAAATGTGCGTAATTTATAACTATGCTGTATTTTACTATGTACCGCGGTTATTCAGAATGAAATGCCTGTTGGCAATAGGCTAAAAGAAAATCGTAGGTAGCGATAAAGTTGGTATTCGGTGCATTATATTATTATCATATATGTCATATAAGTACTAAATACCTATGTGTATACGTATGTGTATTTAGGGACTATAAATTAAGTCCTGAGAGAAATATAGCGGGCTTACTCGGTCCTATTCCAAGTGATATGGAGGGATTTAGACAAAGTAAAAACACGAGGGTCACGGTGACATAAACTACCGATTTGAGTACTTAAATTATACTGAATTTATAGGTGCATTGATTGAATTTAAATTATTACCGTCTTGCGAAAGATCATTCGTAATCCTTTTAACAGTGTTTTCCAACCTTTTTGTAATTTTGACCCAGAAATTTAATCTTTGTTGGGTGCTTGACACCTCCCCCCCCCCAAATCAATCAAGTATGCCATAATATACCTAGTATTATTGATAACCATTTTTTATTATGAGCAATTTTATCATTTAATTTGAATATAATTATGCAATAGTGAATAATGAATATACATGAGTCTATTAAATATAAAGATTATTTTTAAATTGAATTAATATTTAGGTAAAATAACATTAGGTACATACTTGAAACAAAAATAAAATACAAAAATGATATATATTAATATAATAGTAAAATAATATTGTATTTCTGATTTTAAATGGATATTCATCGTAGTATAGATACTGCACACCAAAAATCGATTATAGTTTCATTTTTATGTCACATAATCCTATTAAGATTACTATAAAGTTTTTAATATACATTGTAAGTACACAATTAACAAATGAAACATATTTTAAATATGAAAAAAAAATTAAAGTTTTTGTTTCAAAAATATTCTAGAATCAGCGTAAATAAATTCATACCTATCAAGAATAATTTTACCACTCACAAAAATGTGTTACATTTGATTATTAATCGTTTTGAATTTAGTACAGCAGCACAACACTCAGTTTTATGTAGATCGGTGCTACCAGAATGTGCCTACTTCTTTTAGGGCATCAGGCAAAGAAACACACGTCCGGAAATTATTATTACCTATATAACTAATTCAAGACACGTGTCCTGAAACCGTCAGAGATGTCAAAGATAAAAATAACCTGTTGAATTTTGTCCTCGACTAATATGCAGCCATAAGACTATTAGACCACAATATTTGAACTATTTTAAGCAGACATTATTTTTACTTCTGGATAAAATATAAATTATAATAAAATTGTATTTTTCAGGAACATTCCAACGGAACGGGTACCAAAAAGCAAACTAACCACAGCATCACGTACACGTGGACTAACATGAACGTGTACACGAAAAACGGCAAAAGCCGAAACTTTTACGATACGCTAACGTCGTGCTGTTCGGGTAATCTAAAAATCAAGACTGAAAGAAAACAATTATTAAACAACGGTGAGTTATAAGTTCTACACTACCTTTACGAAAATATTACCCACGTCGGGTAAGAATTGTTTTCCGTGCAGTTTCGGTATATATTTTTATGACTATATAATTTATATAATGACACAGTTAACAGTCGATTACTGTTTTATGATTCCGCTTGTACGTCGTGTTGTTTAAGGGATACCCGCTGGCCAATACTAATCATAATTATTACGAATTATATTCTTCGCTGTAAATATCACACGTATGTTATCTAACGATGCCGGTTTTATGGTGGGCCAGTGTCGACATATTATTATTTTATTATGCGTATAAAATTAGTTCAGGCAGGCATCTCTCTCTCTCTCTCTCTCTCTCTTTCTCTCTCTCTCTTTCTCTCTCTCTAATAGATACTACAACCACGAAAACGGCAACACGTCGTTATTTAATAATTATTATTTGTGTTATTTATTTATTACCGAGCGTATAATATTATATTATTATAGTAACATATTGATTTATGGTTGCAGTGAGCGGTTCAGCACGACCGGGAGAACTGTTGGCTCTGATGGGCTCCAGTGGCGCCGGCAAAACGACCTTGTTGAACTCGCTGACATTCAGAAGTGAACACAACGTCATGGAGTCCGGAATTAGATCTATCAACGGCATACCGGTCAACAGCAAACTGTTGACGGCCGTTTCTGCGTACGTCCAACAACACGACCTGTTCATCGGGACGCTCACCGTCCGGGAACACTTAATATTCCAGGTGAGAATAAATAGGAATATGGGTCAAAGCCCAACATTCGGATGAGGGGTAATTCGAGTAGGACTAGTTCCTCTCCTGTGTCACCCTTAGATAATATTTTATGCCTACATGGATACAGTCATAAAAGTCGTGTAATCAGACAGCATACCTACTATAGTTCCCAAAGTAATTAAATATTAAATGCAATTATAAGGTTATGGCATTCTCACCACCGATAATTTATTAAATGATAATAACATAGAATAATAACTTGAGAACACGATATGAGTGTGTGATAAATGTAATTGCAGTTGTTACAATAATAATAAAAAAAAAAATAATAGGTATCAAATTGTATTGAATCAAAAATTTGGCACATATACCGATATACCTACACCAGAATGATAAATTGTTTTTCTCCATCATAAAGTCGGGTTTACAGCTATGTCATCTGACGTATCGAATCCTAAAGTTGAGCTCGATCCAACCCGGTAGATCTGGGTTTTTAGTGATACAGGTGATACAGTGATTAATACAATAATACCATTACAACAATCTGAATATGATAAAAATAACACAATCACTCGACAAATGATGTAGCTAGTAGCTATGAACCCCGCCTAGACCGTACCCACAACCACACAATAACCAATAAAGTAATACTAATAGATTCATCGATCACAGTATACCGTGTATATTAGGTTAGGTAATGGTGTTATACAAATATACAATATGATGGCGCTTAATCCGACGTTTCCACGTGGTGGTCTTACCGGTCAGGTTTATAAATTCACCGGAGGTCGGCGACCGCGCCTAACCAATACGACGATAACCAATGACCAACGTCTATTCCTACGGTTTAGCTGCTTAAGTTAGAAATCGAATTTCTGCTAACATTCCAGTGATCCAGTATTTTAATTTTTAAGACTAATTCCGGTTTCCCTGTAATTTTAATTAATAAGACAACTTATAATAAATATTTAGCCGCACACAAAAAATAAATATGATATAGCGTAAACGTGTAATAATAATAACAGAATAACATGATGCGTGAGACTATATATTGATAGAACCCTTCAAAACCAATTAATATTGAGTAATTAATTTGAGCTGTATTAGTTTAAAAGATCTCGACGCTTTCGACACTCTTTTGAAACTACGACTTTGAGGGTTGTAGGGCAGTAAGTATGATTGAGAATAGGTATATGAGAAATGAGAGGATTTCAGTGGTACTGGAGTTTGATGTGGAATTTAATATAATATTTTTTTAGTTTTAATCTGAACACGCAGAGACGTCGGGATCGTGTAACCGCATCCTCTCCCTCTACTCTGTACAACAAAAAATTAGTAATTTGTACTAATGTTTTATTTTGATGACTATAATAACTGTATGCAATAAAATATACAACGGTTTTGTAATATAGAAATATCTAAAACAAAATGCATAAATATACTCCACCAAAAAATTATAATGATTTACTTACACGAGATTATAGTTCCTATAACTGAGTTTCAACTTTTTAGCACTGTGTCTTACGCTACACTTTAACTGTTATGACAGGCGTTGGTGCGGATGGACCGACACATACCGTACGAAAAACGAATGGCTCGAGTCGAAGATGTCATACAAGAGGTGAGTTTCAATGATGTTAATATATAATATGCAAGTCGGTTACACATATAATAATTATGCCAATTTGTTTTCCCCCGATTCAGTTGTCATTGAGTAAATGTCAAAACACTATCATCGGCGTGACTGGCAGAATTAAAGGTTTATCTGGAGGCGAAATGAAACGTTTGTCGTTTGCTTCCGAGGTAAGACTATGATTAATTATTAAAATATAATGCTGCAGATCCTATTTATTTTTTCAAATTTATTAGAGAGCAAATATAAAATAAATTATATGGTTATTGCGATTTGTGGTACTTCTTCTATGAACATGATGATTATGACATCGTAAATAATAAATATACTGTTATTATATAAAGCTAGTCAAAATACATATTTTGTTTTTACATAACATACCGTTTGTTTTTCGACTGCGTCTCACAGGTGTTGACAGACCCTCCGCTGATGTTCTGCGACGAACCGACCTCTGGACTGGACTCATACATGGCGCAAAACGTCATCAGTGTGCTCAAGTCGATGGCGTCTAAAGGCAAGACAATCATTTGCACCATTCACCAGCCGTCTTCCGAGGTGTACTCCATGTTCGACAAGATACTATTGCTGGCTAGCGGTCGGACGGCTTTCCTGGGCACTCCCAACGATGCCATCGAGTTTTTCAAAACGTAATAACCCCTTATATTGTAATGTCCGATACAAGGATCTATAAGTCCAGAACAAAGTTACGGATAATCTTGATCCAGAATAATAATAGAGAAAATAGTCACTTGTACTAATGTTTAGCCATCCCGCACTGACACGAAATGTTGAACCTCGTCAAGAGGAAGACTGGCCCTGCAGGAATTTAGGATAATATATACTAAACAGTAGATATAAACTCTTATGTCCTAATACCCCCTTCCACGGTGGGTGTACATTGTTTCCACTAAAATGAAAAAGGTTTGATCTTCGTTTCCGCCAAATCATTTTTCGTCTAAAATTATCATTTGAAAAACATTAGTCATAATTTTGGATTTGTGTTGTTATTGTTTCATAGTATATTCTGAAAACTATATTTCCGAAAACAGTATACCTATGTTTCTACCCACAATGTGGTCCAATTTCAGTGATTCAGAATTCAAAACCACGAATAGTTTCATTCCATGTACATTTCAAATCTACAAATCGTATCTTAACATTAATATAGTTTTAATAATTTTAATAATTTTAATTCTTAACGTTCAAACTATTATAATGTATATTAAATACAAATAAACAGTTCTAAATTAAATATCCAAATACAAAAAACATAAATTACCTATTCAAAACAAAATAATTAACACATCAACTGCAATATCGAAGTAGATAAAATATTTTTGATATTATATTTTATTACTAACGATGAAAATCACCAACTACATAGATTATATGTTTGTTAATAGGATTCACTATCGTTATACCGGACTCCCTGATCTCTACTGCATATATAAGTTTACAGACATTTATAAGTATTCGGAGTATTGATTGTTTAATTTATTTTATACTTTTTGAGCATTTTATAACATTGCCCTGTTTATGTTGTAGTTATAAATTAAATTAAACCAACAAATCATTCATCAGCATTTCTTGATAAAATAATAATAGTAGTTACATAATAACTCAAAAATGCAACAATGTATAGCAGTAGTTCCCAAACTAATTTTCACATTACACATTATTATTCCTACTAAAAGTCACAGCATACTTTAAGTATTAATATACCTTTCACACTTCTCAATAACAAATAATTTTAAATCCAGCAAAAAAAAAAAGGCAAACCAAATTATCTTTTTTATTACCATACAATACTTAGTTATATACATAGATTGTATAATATATATTTTCTATCGTTACATACCAATTTATATTTGCATTTATGGTTCTTTACTAAAAATGTTGCATCTCGAGTAATACGTTTTATATATGTATTGAAAATGATTTTCCAATAATTAATTGTATGGATTTAAATAAAAATGTTTAAATTTGCACGGCACAACCTTTGGCCTAAACTCAAATATGTACACCTATAAGTACTTCCTAAAGTGGCACCGAACTATTTACAGCTGTTCATTTGTATTTTGAACCACGAAAAAATTTGGGTGGTTGGGCTGGTGAATAGATGTAAGAATAATTAACCAAGTTCATTGTACCTGATATTTAGCTTCTATGCTAATTGGTTTAATATAGGTACCGTTACAGTAAAGGTGGATAGATAGATCTATACATTTTGTAAATTGAATCAGTTGGTCAAATATAATTACCGCCACTGGCGCCACTGTATACTTACTAATTACTATCGATAGCAAAATACAATACTATCAACCGGAGTCCAATAATTGGAAAAAAAAAAGATTTGAACAACTAAATTATTTATTTTGATTAAATTGAGTTAAAACTATACGTCTATACGTAATATTATTCCATCGTGTTAGTTCTTTGCAAGTGTTAAACATATTGTTTGTTAACGATTAACTTATAACGTTAGCACTGCGTTCTTATGTCGACTTGACTTAATTAACTCATGTTCTGATTATTTTAACTGTCATTACTTATTAGTTTGTCATTGGCCTTTGTACATAATTATATATTTTATCCCGTCTGTAATTTCGTATAGGCTCGGCGTTAGCTGCCCGAAGAACCACAACCCGGCGGACTTTTTCATTCAACTGTTGGCCATCGTACCGTCACAAGAGACGTGCTCATACGAAACCATCGATACTGTTTGCGAGGCTTACGAGAGCTCAAACTACAAGAGTGACATGATTGAACATCAAAAACAGTTAGCTATCGCCAGCAAAGTAAGTGTATATACATATCTATATGTTAGATAAACCTCGGCTGAATAAGTATCTTGAGAGTATATTTATAGATCCAACAGACAGAGCCGAGCTGTAATCAGTAACCAATTTTGTATGTGAGATTTAAAATAATTTTGTAATTGACTTGTCATACGGAGACGGGATTTTCACTAAAAATATGGATTTCCAGATTTCCTGTAAACAAATTTTTTTATAATATATTACATTCGTGTAAGGAGTGGCCCTCCTTCACCGCGAGGCATATTTTTCAACTTTTGTCAATATATTTTACGGCAATTGTTGCCAAGGGATCAATTTCGGCTTAAACATCCCACGCTTACTCAAATAAAATAGGTAACTTTGGTTTTCTGCTTTTTTCCAGAGCACGTTGGACTGTTGGGGCTCGAACGGTCTGGAGAACGTCTCGTCACCGTACAAAGCAACATGGATGGAACAGTTTTCGGCAGTCTTCTGGCGGTCGTGGCTCAGTATCAAAAAAGAACCAGCCCTCACCAAAATTAGGCTCATCCAGACAATGGTAAACTGGTAAAACCACGGCGATGATTGACCCGATCTAACCCATACATTTTCTTATAATTTCAGTTAGTAGCCGCTCTGATAAGTTTCATATTCTACAACCAGCACTTGGACCAAGACGGTGTGATGAACATCAACGGAGCACTGTTCATGTGTATATCTAACATGACATTCCAGAACGTATTAGCAGTTATAAACGTAAGTACCTATACCGGTCTTATTCAGTCCGAGTATAATTACCGTAAATCTGGCCAGGGGAGGGGCAGTGGTGCATATCGGAGGTGATGAGCGCTTGGGCAGCTTATAGCCTCCCAATCCCAAAGTATCTTTATAAAACTTTTCAAAAATATTGAGTAAAAAATGTTCAACTCATTACAAAGATTTTTTAATACAGTAAAAATGACTATACGTTCATGCTTAAACTTTTATTAATTTCTAAAGTTATCATATTATTAGTTTATTATTTCAAGAACGAATAAGATTAAGGTTAATACTCAAGTAAGTTATTTATAAATAGTAAAACTAAAAACTAAAGGCTCGGGTTAACAGCCTTGAGTATTACCTACTCCTAATAATATATATTTATAATATTGGTTACAGTATTAGCCATTACGTACAATTATTTACAAAACAGCAAACATCACTGCACATATTATATACAGTAAAGTTACCATATTATTATTAAATGATTATTTCCGCCAACACAGGTATTCTGTTCCGAACTTCCGGTGTTCATGCGGGAACACCACAACGGCATGTACCGGACGGATGTGTACTTCCTGAGCAAGACCCTCGCCGAGGTACCGATATTCTTGGTAATACCCATACTGTTCACGTCCATCATGTACTACATTGTGGGCCTAAACCCAAAGTTCATACACTTCCTCACGGCTGTCCTGTTCATAACGCTCGTCAGTCTAGTCGCTGTGTCGTTCGGTAAGTGAAACTTCCGAATATCGGAATTTCTACAAGATATGTTAAGTACACCTATATCTAGCCACCTTTAGGTATAGTACACATCTCTACTTCCGTACCCCGATCGCTTGAGTCAGAAGAGGTCATACGACCGACTTTTAAGGGGTTTTGAATGGGCAATTTTAACTATATTCGAGTATACGTTAACTTATGGTTGCCGTGCAGAATTAATTACGAAATTTTCGTCTGGAGCAAACCAACAACATGCAATAAATATTTACAAATCTATAAAGAAATTACCACATGTGAAAATTAGGTAACTTAACCTGCGATGTAACATTTTCTATTTGTTCAATAACCTGACATACAGCCCATATAGGTAACATTTTTATAGATATTTTATATATGTCGGCACTGAAAATCAAACTTAGTTTTTAAGAACAACACAATTCTCAGGCTTTGGTTTAAAGTCTATAAATCATCACTTATCTATTCAGTAATTTTCTGTCATTATTAATTAATTTAGTTAATTCAAAAGGGTGAGCCCAAAGCAAGTTGAATAAAGTATACTGCTTTCGGATCAAAATATCAATCAAAATCCTACTATTCTGCGAGATTCTAATAAAATGATTTTCTGATCAGCTTCCTGTAAAATTGTTTTCGATTGTCATTGAATTAATGGTTGATAATATGATATTTGTCGTACGTCGAGGCGCTGTGTAACCATAACAATTGCCTAAACTTAGCCCCTTAATAAATAGCCAGTTATTTTGTTTTTTGGCTCAGGTGCCATTAAAATACATTTTAAAAACACTGAGTAAATTTTACTAAGTATAATGTTCTACTACACGATTCGTTTGGTTTTCTCAGGTTACTTTGTATCGTGCGCCAGTGGTTCCATATCGATCGCACTTTCTGTGGGGCCGACGATCGTCATACCTTTTCTGCTGTTTGGCGGCTACTTTTTGAATGTTGGGTAAGTTGCGGTGTACACAAAACACGGTGCATTTTTATATTATTATCACTTTCGTATATTATATTACAATAAAATTAAATGTATAAATAATTAAATATTCTGTACAACGAGTTTGTATCGAATATAATAGTATGACATTATAAAAATAATAATAGTTAACGCTAAGTATAATAATAAATTACAATTGTTTGATTTCAAGATCGATCCCGTACTATTTCCGGTGGCTGAGCGTCTTCTCGTGGTTCAAGTATGCCAACGAAGGGCTACAAATCAACCAGTGGGCAGACATCGACACCATTCAGTGCAACAGGGTGAATACGACGTGTCCCCGTTCTGGTCACGCTGTCTTAGAGTCGAATAGTTTTCTAGAGGTAAACAGACAACAACGTTTTTGATTATTATTGGTTTTGAATTCAACATAAACATAACTGTAGGTCCACAGGCAGCAAACAATTACTGTCACCAAGAGATCTCTAACTTAAACTTCGACCATATTTTATTATGTACCGAGTTTAAACGTATCTAATCTATTCGTGTTCGTTTTTTTTTTCCAGTCAAACCTCACCATGGACATAATTTCATTATTTTTATTAATCATCGCCTTTCGGTTCATGGCGTTCTTGTCACTCCTGGCCAGAACGACACGAAAATAAAACACACGTGATAATATTTTCAACGATTCTGAAAATGCATCACTGCTACAATTGCCTACACAACACACATGTTTGTAAACCATCGCCACAGGCGTACACTACTTGGAATTAAAAAATAAAACTATATACATTAATATATATTTATACAGAATAAGATCGATTAAGGTTGTACATATATTATTCTATATAAGATCATAGATAGAAAAATAACGTAATGTAATTTAAATGTATTTTAAACGAATAACTGTATAGTTAAATGCCATATCATTCATCAGTCGAAGACATCTCTGAAATGGCATTTCTGTAATTTATAAATTGGTACTTATAAAATTTTAATTTGTAAAATATTTTATTATTTATACTTAAGTAACTGAGTACTTGAGTGCAATAGCCAGAGTGAATGCCTGTGACTGACCATTACACTCAAAATCTCATGTTTCTCTTATTAGATAAATTCACAAAAACTCACTGATATACCTAAATATATATTATTATTAATTTTCTATAATTTTGTATATTAAAGTTCCCAGCCAATTGAAATAAAACTCAAAATACACGGTACTGGCGTTGGTATACTAAAAAAAAGTTGGTTGTACGGTGGTATTCAATCCGACTGTTTTAATGGTCCTGATTATTTTAAGAGTATACATTTTATTTTTTGTTTGATGATTTTTTTATTATTATTATTATTATTATTATTATTATTATTATTACTACTACTATTACTTTTACAATATATAATTTAAAAATTATTATATTATTGATTGCACATTGTTGAATTATTATACAAAATTTATAAAAAAAAAACGTGTATTAGTCAAATTAATTAAATGTTGTTGAGCACATTTTGTAAGTAATTTATGTTTTTGCTTTAACATAATATATTATGAATTATGATATATATATATATATATATATTCTGAATTACAATTAACAATGTAGAAAACACACATATAACAATAGATATTCATATAATATACAAAGCACCTAATTCAATTTGCTTAAATTGAGAAGCATTAAATGTTCATGTAATAAATATTAAAGAAAACAATAATCAGAAGTTAGTCTGGCTGTATAATATTATTTGTTAGTGTGATTTAGAACTTAAAATATGATAATCTATCTATAAAGCATACAACTAATGACAACCACAAATTAAACAACAAAGAAAGAAATAGTTATGAAAAAATAAAACTGTATTTATAATATTAATTAATCATATTTATTTCACTTAAGTCTTTTAAAATTTAAAAATATCAACAAGTTATGATATTACTTTGAGTTTGAACATAATATTGATTAAACTGTGTTCTATAACTAGATATTATTTTATTATAGAATAATTAAAAAATGAATACACTAAAATTGATTCTCACTATTAATAAATAATAAATATTTTTAACTCTAATTATGTTACTACAATTTGGTTATAAAAGCAAATATTTCAAATTTTAGTTTATCATATTTCATAACGTAAATTATTAAAAATTTAAATATACTTTTAAGTATTCCACAAATCATGATTTAGGAGAACTTACAGCATTTGATTACATACACATACAATTTATTCAAAGGCTTAAAAAACAAATGGAAAAGATATAACTTACTGTGATGATCTAGTAATGATATACATTTGAATGATCAGAAGTAGTAAATTGGATGCATACATTGGGATATTTTAATCGCCAAGCTGCTACGTCAGGTTCTTTAATGTTTTCGCAAAAATTAACATCCATTAACTTTAGGTTTTCACATTTCTCTAGGAACTTGGAGCAAGCATCAACTGTAATTGCTCTGAGGCCAACTAAATCTATTTGTTCCAACAGTGGGCAGTAGTCAGCAAACGCTAGTAGATCGCGGTCGCACACGCCGCGTAATGACACAACAATGATTTTTTTTAACCTTGGACAAGATTTGACCAAGTCCAATAGACTATCGCCAGGAATACTCAAAGCTAAACTGAAAACATAGGAAAGATGTTAGCCAAGTCAACATTTGAATATGGTATTTTATTTATTTAATCGTATACCAACCACCATCCTAGATCAATTTCTTCAAGTTGTTTGAGAACAGTTAGAAAGCGCAGTCCAGTAGGAGACAGTGTATAACTTTTCCAAAAATCTACAGATACCAGTTGCTTGTTCGATATTGACAAATTATAAGCAATATGATCCATGCAACCAATTCGTTTACACGAACCTAACCATTTGAAAAACAACCATTAAAATGAGTTACCACCAACACATATAATCAATACAATGGAATAAAACTATATAACATATATGTGTTAACTATTTACCAAGATTAATATGCTTCAACTGAGGCATACAAGTTATGTAAAAAGCTAAGCACTCTGTGGTAATATTTGTTCTATAAAAATCTATACGTTCCATTTCCGGGAAGCTCTGTGGTGGACATATCAGCTCAAAATCAATTGAAGTGCAACTTCTTAAACTCAATTCTGAAAAACCATAAGTTGCATATTACACATTTAGTGAAAACATAACGAGGAAAATATGTTTACCTTTCAGATATTTACAATATAAATTTATTGCAATTAATGTGGCATCATTGACAAATCCACAACAGTCTAATCGTAGGTTAGTTAAATTAGTACCACATTTCTTTATAAATCTAAATATTCAATAAATAATTAAGACAAATGATTATCAATGATAAGTTTTGTTTATCATAAATGACATACAAGTTAAATGCTGTGCTCAATATTCCTTTTGTAATACCACACCAGGATAAATCCAACTTTGTTATTCGGTCACAGTACGGCTCTAATGAAATGAGCATTGAATAGGAGAATGAGCTCCAATAAGGCTATAAACATACTGCAATGAATCCGTTTTTCTTCAAATATGTAATTTTTTAACATTTGTACTCACTTTTAAGTTTAATTCTCTGTAGAAATATCCGTCCGTACAAATGTTCTTGAAGCGCTTGCACACCCTCATACAAAGTCGCAATGATTTTAAATCCAAGTATGAAAATATTTGCATCAATGATTCATTCTATTTTTGCATAGTTACAATTTAGGAATTTAGTTATGAATTTAATAATAATAATGTAATATAATAGGATAAAAAAAAAGTGTACCGGTAATTTCAAGGTGTAATCAATGTCAGGTACTTTACGCCACTCGTTTTCAAGTTCTTCTATATTCTTGATCAGTTTCAAAAATGGATCTAGACTTGTTGACATAGGTATCTAGAAATTGACACACTAAAATAATTATATGTTCAGAACAACACAAAATTAAAAGTCATTTACATTTGAAGCCATTGACGGAACCCTAACTTCTGACAATAACTCCTGGTCTTGTTCTTCATTATTATCATAAACGTATCCTGATGTTGTATGACTAACCATAGGTACAGACATGATTGGTAGTTCACCGTCGTCTGGATACTTTAAAATACCACCCATAGATACAGCATCTAACTCGGTATAATAGTCCAATTGAGAATGATTAAATTCTATGCATATCTCTCTGTGGGCAAGATTTTATAACATTGATATTAATCAAAGCAATATAATTTAGTAGACTAATATTTTTGTCTTACTTGACCAGTTCCTTAATGTATTTTAATTTTGGAGCAAACAAACGAGAATGTCTCATGCCATTACAGTTCTGAGGCGGCCCTTCCCAAAGTAATCTCCATGCCATCGTATCAGGAAGGTCAATAACTTTGCCTGATATCCGTACTACAGACCCGGGAGTAAACGTTTCAAATATAGAGATGACCAGAGGAACGACTGGTATATCAAATGATAATACTGTAATACACAGGTTAATAATAAAAATTATATTTAATTTGTTTTGTTTTTATTCAATCTTACTAATATAATCTTCGCTTCTTATTCTTCCTGCATTTTGTGGCATAATTGGACATTTTCGAGATGGTGCAAGGTCTCTCCATGGTCCATAACTCCTCTGAGTAAAAAAAAATTTAAGAATATTATTGCCTGATAAAATAAAAACCTATAACTTATTTAAAACCATTTGATATAAACAAAATAATAATCTCTTGAATACTTAGTTATTTCAAAAAAATAAAGGATTAAGTGCAACAATAAATTTGAATAAGTTAATAGAAATAAAAACATTTAATATTATTGATCACACAAAACAATTTGATCCAGGATTGAAATCAAAGATTTCAAATTTAATAATTAATTCAATTTGTTTGTGAAAAGGTAACATTTGTGCTGTAACAAATCAGTGCTTGTAGTGAATACCAAGCGCACAGGTACTAATATAAGTCACCAGGAACTCACCATAACATAAGACTGGGGAAAGTCTCCGTAGTTAGGAAACTTGCTAGGCCTACCAGTGACATTGCTGGCTGTGTAAGATATGCTAATGTCGCTGCCATATTGAGAGCTAAAGTCCACCACTTCAGATGAAAACTGGAACACAAAGTTGTCCAACGTAGACTGCTCCTTGTTGATTCGCCTGACTTCCACACGATCCATGTATGTACGAGTATAATCAATGTATGACTTGCAAAGCTTTCTTAAATCAGCCAAGTTAAAGCCAATTTGTTCTTCGTTCATGACCAATTTTGTTGGTACAAATCCCGATAGAACGAGCACCTTTGAATTCCATCGAGCACACTAATTCTTATTACCGTACATTGTAAACCCAAACGTCTGGCAGGTTAAAGTTGTCGAGATTCGAAATGACTAGTTGACAAATTATACTTAAAGGACAACTAAGTACTAACTATAATAATTACAACTATACTGTTACCTATTTACTATTTTGTCGTATTGTATTTACACATTATAACAGTATCACACGTCCTTTGACCACTGAGATCATTGTTCGAAATCGGTTTGATAATGCCTACCAACGCTACCAACTCTGACGAAATTATAGCAAGTGGTGATTTTGAGCCAACCAGTTTTCACATTTTGAATGCTCGAACGCCCGGGATATTGTGTTCTACTACGCGAACTCTTCGTTATTTATATTCTGGAAAAACTCATGAATTTTGTATTAATACACGTGTTGCTAGTATTGATAATGATGTTGAAAGTTTAATAAAATATAAAAGAACAGATTGTGACATAATTTTAAGATCAACCATTATTTAGTTTATCATCATACAGAATTTGGATATAACACAGTAGGTACATTTTTTGGTTTATTATATCCTATTATGTTCGGCTACAACTTGGTTATTATACTTAGTAGACGATGTCAAATGTAATGTCAGAAGATCAACATCCGATGAGAATATGATTTCATGATTTAAGTGCACGAGTACGACGTAAATGTGTGCAAGGTACATGTGTTCTCAATGATTCACCAAACTTCACACCTCACCCATAGCTGCTGTTTAATGTCTTACTAAAACCAGAATGTATGAATATTTAATAGGTACATATTACTGAAAAATATGAACCACGATACATTTTCGTTGCCAAATGAACTATGTAGGTATTTATGAGGTTTCCTATATCTCAATCACAATAATACTACCTATGTAAATTAACTAATAAATAAACTAAAAAATTTAAATTTAAAATTAATTTTATGTAATAACTACATTCATTTAAATATTTACTTCCACTTCATAGATATATATATTATGTGATAATGTAATACAGTTCCCACTTTAAAGTTATATGCTATGTTAATGCATGCAATTTGAATATCAAGAAAAACATAATTTTAAGACTTAACATAAAACTAATTAAATTTTTTAATCCTGGTGCCTGAAATTTTTAATTTAAAACAAATTATCCTATTGTTGTTCATTCCATTTATTTATTCACACAATTTATTATATATTAATATGCATTTAAATGCTAAATAAACTCTCAATGCATTCATTCATTCTCTTCTGCACAGTTATAAATCCAGATCCTGCTTATAACCAAATGATTATCTCAGAGACATGGGGGCTAGAGGTCCAGAATACCTAGATTTATTATTTCTCCAATTTTTTTTTATTATTCTATAGACCTGAATGTTACTTTGAATTTTTTTATTTAATATTTGATCACTAATTTATTTATTACATTAAGATTATACTAATATTGGAAAAAAAATTTTAAATTAAGAATAAAATGTAAATTGTATTTGCCTTCCCCCCTCTTTGATCTTTGCTCTAGTTGGATGGATTATCTAACTGGAATTTAAGGGATATGTCTATTATAATATTATTAGTCATTACTTATTACATAATATAAAGTAATTTTATTTATATTATTAAGGTCAAAAACTTTTAAAAGTTAAACAATATAAGTATATTTTAGGATTTCCACACTTACAACTGTAAGTATTTAAGCACCGTTACTCAGTTTATACTTTTTGTAGTAATTAACTTGCAATATTATGTAATTTTTTTTAATAAGTAGTAGGTACCTACTAAATGATAAATGATAACTAGGTCAAGGTATATGATATTATTACATTAATACCTCCTCTACAAAATATTAAAAATCACATAGGTTAAATGATTCAGTAATATTATTGAGGTAAACTCATTCCTTAGTTTTTATATCTCCTGGGGCCTGGGAACTAAATATTTATAACATAGGTACATTTATTTACTTTCATACAGATTACTACATCATAATTTAAAATATTAAATTTTCATTTCATAATTATGAATTTTTACTTTTAAGTAAATAAGTAATTATATCATGTGCCTTGCCAGTTGTAAATTATAAACCTAGCAGTGCACTAAAAACAAAATGGTAGTTTTTGAAATCAATATAAAAACATAATTTATTATAAATAAACCAATGCATTCATTTTTTCTTATACAAAAATGTATGTAATACTCATTAATTAGGTCTTAACCCTTAGACATAGAAATTGTATGATGAATGTATGAAAATATGAACGTAGCCCGGAGGTTAGTAATATCTGAACTGTTATATGTTACTGTACCAAACCAGGAACCAAAATCAAATACAAATACAGAACATTTAACATAGGTCTATAAAGAGTTTTTTTTTATGATTTATTTTTATAGGTATATCATACATGCGTTAGGTACATGTATATTTTTTTATACATAACCATGAAGAATAGAAATCTATATTGAATATTTGTTTTATATATAAATTTATATAACTAATCTTTATGGGAATTACTATTTTAATAAACAGGTGTATATTTGTTTAAAGCTAATCTTTAAAAGAAACAATTGTTTTCATTAATTAATAATTAGTAGGGCTCAATTCCAATCAAAAACATTTATATAAAAAATGCATTATGTAATGTATAACCCAAAAACTTAAAAAAAAGAAATTTATAAATAATCAAATTTATACAAAACAAGAATACACATTTCAAAAACATTGATGTCCAACCCCTAACAATTACTAATTACAGTTTTGAAAAAGTTAGGATACTTTAAATTAAGACTAGATAATAGATTCCAGTAACTACTTTATTTTCAATAGTCAATACCATTTTGAACATATTTTTGATGTATAGAACCTTTTGCTGTCTTACTTTATAGCAAATGATGTAGACAGCAAAATTAAATTATTATCGTTTACTAAGCACTTCTTTTAGATTGTTTAAATTTGACTAAGTGTTTTGTGCATAAAACGCAACATCAATTTTACATAGTTGTCAACTTTGATGTATGTCACTGAGGAAAATATCCTCACAATCTTTTCAAAAATATATTACAATAGTCATTTAGTTTGATTACTCTAGTAGCCAACTTACTGTTGGCGGACACAATGAGTAACTAAAATAAAATATAGATAATAGATACGATAATTTATCAAATAATTTTTTTTTATTTTAATACATATTGATTTTATTAAAAATAAAAATGAACAAAGATAAACTATATTATTGTTAGCATGCAGAGAGTGATTCAACTCTTGCAATAGCTGTTTCAAGTAAAAAACTTTCAAACAATAGTAAAAAAAAAAAAAATAATACATCTTTTTTTACACATTAGGATCTAATATATTATTTTTACAAATTGCATACACAATTTTTTTTAGTCCATATACTTCTTTCAAAATAACTTCAAAAGTTCATAGAACTCTCGGATTCTGCGATATTGAGGAGGCAGCCCATGCACAATGTTTTTACTGAGTTCCAGTTGAAAACAAGGCAATCAATCCACTTGCAATTCCAACAGAAAATATGTAATTCCTATAAATAATTGAGTTAAGGTCATCTAATTTAATGCAAACTAAAACAATAAGCGTCATTCAACACTTAAGAAATGTTATAAATTATATTTTTAAGTGATTTGGTTAACATTTGAAGAAATAATTCTCACTTGCAAACCACAAGGTATAAAAACATGTTGAATAAAGGAATGTAAAACTATCTAAGCAAAAAACTGTTTTCTGAAGGAAAAAGAAAAAATTAAATTGATATTTCGTTATCAGAAACAGAACAAAATAGATTTCTATTTCATTTTGTAACAGTTCAAGGATGTAAGCTAAAAATGGTAAACCATGATATTCAATATGGTGCCAAAAATTAGACACTTTTATGGCAATCAGTTCTAATTATCAAAGTTATGATAAAATATGAAACATATTTTAAAAGGATACGCTGTTGTTGAGAATCCCTTCAGGAGATAGAAACTGAGCAAAACCACAATGACCAAAAATAATGCATTGTTGTAGAAAATTGAAAATGCTGTTGCTTCATAATCCGCTACATCGTTTTTTTGGAATAGAGCTCTAAAATCATACAATAAAATAACATCATTAAAAAAGTCTGAATTATTTTACACTTATAAAATGAACTAAAGAAAATATAGGTAATAACTAATATTCTATAAATTTCCATTTGCCTAAAAAGTGAAAACCCAACACTATATCTCATATTTGTATACATTTCTTTATAATTGAAGTAATTTACAATATTTAGTTCTAGATAAAACGTAGCTGAAAACACAATAATTTGTTCATCTTACTTATAATTTTTCAGCATTATTAACCTAAGGGCACATAATCAAATATAAAGGTAAGAACATTAGATTATTATGTTTGAACTTAAGATTTTAAACTAACATCAATATGGTATACCTATAGTATGTTTATTACACAGAGACAACACATGCGGGGGTATTGCATCCTCTTATAAATCCATATTTTACTCAATTTATCATTTTGATGTCCATTAATTATCTATTATTTAACTTTCCAGAACTCACTGAACAATAATTTTTTATGAATCAGTTGTTTAGCAAAATAATTCATTATGGTATTTATTGCAATATGAGCATTAAATAATTTTAAGAAAAAAATAATTGAAAGCATTTTAATTAAATAAGGTAACTAAATATTATATACTTTTCATCCTTTTCTTTCTTGCTAATTTTTTTGTCATCGGCATATTTTCTAGTGATTTCCCTGGTCACTGCTTCTTCCCTTTTGATCGCGATCTAAAAAATAAGAATGCATAATGTACACGCACAATATTATACAAGAACAGAAAGTACAACACACATACTTTATGTTTCAATATGAACTTGGTGTTTTTGTAGGCGAATGAGATGAGGTAAGTGCTACCCAAAGTGACAAGAATGAACCAAACAAGGGCCGGCATCATTTCGATCATGTGTATTCTCCAGTATAGCCCTGTACAAATAAGTAGATACGATTAGATGTCAAAATCGATTTAGTAGTAAGATACCAAGTAACTATAGATACTTTAAAAGTACTTACATATGGGCAATGCAGACACCATAAAAGCGCTACCGTAGAACAGTGCTGAAGACTTGGTGGAAACATTTCTGCTAAAATCAGACAACAGTTGTTCTTCCTCTTTGGTGAACAAAGGTTCATATTTCTCCTTTTTAACCATTTTCGAGGAAAAAATTTAACTCAAACGATGATGGGTTGAATGCAATATGAATGCACTAAAATTTAAAAAAAATGTTCACTGACCAGTCTACTATGCGTACAATGCATAATATGACTTATGAGAGGTGAAACGTGTACGTATCTTGCGTTACAGTTATGTTTACGTATCACCGCTTGGAACTTAGGTCACCAACCGTGCACAACGTGTTCGTTCCTGCGCAGTGTGACCGCCGAGAATTTCCGAAATATTCCCTTCGAAACTCTTGCCCGTCGCATCTCGACAACGAGTAACGACACAGGTGATAATTATATTCCACAGTTATATAAAAATTGTATTTTTAAAACACCCAATTTATTTACCATTTAATAAGTACCTATAAAATGTTTAAAGTTTATTGATTCATTATATTATTATATATTATTAAAATTTCTAATATAAAAAAAATTAATAAACGACCTAGTGAATGCATTCATTTTTTTCAATGAACGCGTTCACGTTAATTTGAAAAAACACCAATGTGAACTTGAACGAATTCATTTTTTTAGTGAACGTTCCGAACACTGGATATGTTCATAATTTTACGCGTTAACAAACTAAGATTTACTTAGTAGAAACACTTAGTCCTAGAATCCTAGCCACGATGTAGAATATTACATATTATTGAGTATATATATTTTTATACAGTAGATACTCTGATACTCAATGATATTATCTAAAGAAATGTATTGTGGATTTAAGCTAAACTTTTTTTATTTTATTTAAACTAACAACAACTTACGAAGAACCTTGTATTACATTTTCAAGTTTTTTGACTAATTGAAACATTATTTAACGACAATAATTAAAGAAAACTCTTGCAATTCGAAATTTTCTTATGGCTATAAATAGCTTAAAATACGTCAAAATATTTTGAAAATATTTTTATGTATTGAAAATGCCAATATTAACACTCGGAAAAAAATGTCACGTATTAACAGTATTGTTATTATTTTTGACTTCTCAAAAAAAACATAATTGATTTTTCCAAAAATTGGTTTTGTACAAAAATCCCAGCTATTCAATAATTAAAAAAAAAACACACAAGCATCATCGTAAAATCAATACATTTATTACTCCACTTCGAATCTAAGATTCCAAAAATCAGATTTTGAATAACTGCATTGCTAAAGAAAAGGAGGGTTAGATTGCTTGGTGAATCCACTATGTGTAGAGGTGCAGAAAAATCTATTAACATCAATGACAGTAGTACAGTACCTACTTTTATTTTTTAAGCAATAATTCTGTTATAAGGTGGGTTTTTAATAAATTTCATTTACATTTTAGTATTTTACACTGATTTTAGATCAACCATGATCAGTTGTCATTGATTATAAATATTATTATAATATATTCATAATTTTTAATCAATGGTAGATGGTAATAATTGGTAGTATTATAAAAAATTATGTCACAATTGTGATCGACATAATTCAAAGTGGGTCGATTTTACATAATAATATAATTTATTATAGTCATATAATAAAAAAAATTATCAATCCACAAGCACCTAGCAAATCAAAATGATCTAAACAAATTAATATTTGAATGAATACGTATTTGAAAGGTGTGGGTAGAAACTTGAAATAAAGAGTCGAGTAACTTGGGAAATTGTGAGCTGCAGAGATTATAATATATAATTATCAGAGTGCAGAGTGTACACTGTATATAATTTTTAATTATCTATGACTCTATGAGTGTCGAAAGGCAGAGTGGTCACTGATTGAGCTTTGAGAATTTGAGTGCAAGCGGCACAGTGTACGCGCGCGATTCGAATTCATATCACCGTTCAAGATTCACCGGCGTCTGATTACGGTCAGCTGACCGGGGCTGTGTGGTGGCAGTGTGTACACAGGTACGGTACCGTGCGGTAACGCGTTGCGTTCGGTTTCTCTTCCATGTCAACGGAACATACATGATCCTTGGGGTGTGCTTAAATCGGAGTCGAGCTGAGTCATATTGTAAGAATCCAATGCCCGTAGTAGTACAACACTGTGCCGTAAAGTACAACAAATTGTCAAAGTGTTTTCCTGCGGCGGACGTCGGGCGTTTTATTCATATTATTCTCTCCGATCTTGTGTGTGAGTAGTTTACCGCAAAAAATCCGCGCTCCGTTCCGTTTTTCGCCCGTCGAAGCGATAAACGTTTATTGCACACCCGCACAATCTAATCGAAATCGTAAATCGGTCCAAAATGGCATCTGGAGTAACAGTAGCGGACGCGTGCAAAAAGGTCTACGAGGAGATCAAAAAGGACAAGAAGCACAGGTACGTGGTGTTTCACATCAAGGATGAGAAGCAGATCGACATTGAGGTGATCGGCGAGCGCAACTCTACTTACGACCTGTTCCTAGAAGACCTACAAAAGGCCGGCCCGCAAGAATGCCGTTACGGTCTGTTTGACTTCGAGTACACTCACCAGTGTCAGGGCACATCCGAGAGTTCCAAGAAGCAAAAGCTCTTTTTGCTCTGCTGGTGCCCAGACACAGCCAAAGTCAAGAAGAAGATGGTTTACTCGTCCAGCTACGACGCGCTCAAGAAATCACTGGTTGGCGTACACAAGGCGTTCCAGGCCACTGATCATTCGGAAGCCTCCCAAGAAGTCATCGAGGAGAAGCTCAGGTCCACCGACAGACAGTAAAAATAATTCAACAAAAAACTTATATACAACAATACGCATATGATGTTTATGTATATTTATAAAACAAAGTTTTCGTCTTTTACGTTTTGGTATTAAAAAAAATAAATAAAAAAAAATATATATATAATATTAGTACTTCCATAACGTAATCTTTTATATTACAGAACAAAAAAAAAATATTTATAAATTCAAAAACATATAATACTAACATTTCAATAAAAAATCTAATAATCATATTATTCATTGTTATAAAGCGATATGTTCCCGTAGGAGCATTTATTTTATACCTATATATTATTTTAAGTATTTTAATTCATGCGTGTTTAATTTCTCGTCGACAAATTATACGTATTTCAAACTTGATGCTCTCTACTTTATTTTGTTGGTTATTTCTTTAATATTATTTATTTTGTATCATTCGCCACGATATGCGCGGGTATGTGTGTACAATTCGAGAATAAGACATCTCATCACAAATTCACAACACATTTATATTATTAATTAATTTTGTGCTGTGTTGTTTCTTTCCTTTTGTGTGTCGAATTTGAACTTTGGAGTCAGGACTGTTTTGTTTCTTAAGTTTATTTTTTCTTTCTCCCATTTCTTAATCTATTATCGGCGTTTACTCATCCAACCGATGCACACACACACTCACACATACTAACGGTTGGCTAATTTTATTTGGTTTTTTTTCACCGTTCTCGTCCGCTTCGCCGTCTCCTTTCTGTGGTCGGCGGGTGGAAGAGAGAGAGATAGAGGGATTAGAAAGTGTCTAAGCCTGAGTGAGAGAAAACTACCGCCGTAGTGAATTGATTGAGGATGGACGCGGCGGCGGAACAGACGCGTAGATAACGCTATGCCACTAAAACTGATACGGTGGCGGCTCCGGCAGTGTTACCAACTCGGGCGACGGTGCCGGTCCGACGGAGCCTTTAAATGGAACGACGAGACACTCGCCGCCGTCGTAGTCTCAAATTAAATATTTCTAAAATAAGAGCACTCACTCTTCCCACACACGCTGCGTACGACCGCAGCACGAAATTCGGTTCAGGCGAATAAAAACAACAACTCGCCGAAGTAGCATAAGAAATACGATAAATGGGTGAAGACTAATTTAATAATGTTAAATGATCGGTGTCGCGACGAAATCATCATGTGTCTTGGAAAACTTGGTTTTCATTTCCGCAGGAACAGCGACGATATTAATATTATTATATTCGGACGGGCCTACGCTGAGAAAATCTCGTTTATAAATATAAAATGCACGCCCGCAAAAGGGCCGATAAAACGCGTACGCTCGTAAAGGGGGAGATAATAATAAAAATATCGTGCGCACGATGGAGGGGACCGCCAAATGAATCATCCTCGTAATATTAATATGATGATGGTTGCTACGAAACTATACGCGGCGGCGGCGGTCCACAGATTGTAACTTTTCGCTCTCTGCCGGTTCGCAAATTGTTTTTGTTTTCATCAAAACAATATTTCATTATTTTGGGCGACGACGACGAGAGTTGTGACGAAAAAAAATGTAAAACAATGTACTAATATTATTAAATGGGATAAAAAAAAACCCGGTGAAAGCGACTGCGGCGGGCGGCGGCTGTCGCCTTGGATGGACCGCCGCGGAATATCGTATTGATTTTTTCCGTTTGCTGCGAGTCGCGTCCTTCTCTCCCTCTTTGTGCTCTCCTCATATTCGCTATTACAGTCTCGTCCATTTTTATTGTTGTAGTCCCGATCGCAGATTTACACGTCCTATTTCTCTTATTTGAACTTTTTCGTGACGCACATCGTATTCTCGTGCAAATTGTATTATTCATTTGTGGTGTCGCAGCCAGGATTTTTTATTACGAGTTGTCGGAAGCCAACCGCATCTATGACGCGGAAGATTTGAAAGAAAAGTTCGAATACTCAATAGTTTATTGTTAAACACTAAAAATGAATCAATAAAGTAAGTGCTCGGCAACTTGCTACGCACACTTCTAAGAGTGAATTTCAAACATATTGGATTAAATGTGTGACTTCGAAATAATTATGAATAATATTATTAATAAATGTTCAGCTAAAATTTCAAACAAAATCAGTATAAACGTCATGGGATAAATTATTTTCCTCATTTATGCGTATTCTATTTTTAAAGTATAACTATACAACTAAAAATACATTTATAGACATAATACATTGATATTTCTGTTGTACTTACTACCAACCAGGTTATCTTGCCTACCACGAAGTTAAAATCAGGTTTATATTTTCTCATATTCACTTAACTGTTTATAAGTTGTAAGGATCATGATCCGTACCTTAATAGAAAACCAAAGAAATTAAAGACACTAAAAATCAAAAATAAATTTCAACGAGGGGGGTTTTAATAGTCCTCGGATTCCCCCCCCCCCCACCACACACACACATGTTGTGCCACTGACAATGTTTGAAAAGTTATCATTCCAGCTGTTGAGTAAAGTACGTACTGCTGAAGAATTCAGTGGTCTTCATTACTTAATTTCGGTGATCTACGTTCGCTGCTTGAAATTGCAGCAATCAAAATGTGTGACAATATTATTATTATTTATTTCAGTATTTTGATCGCGTATAGCCACGGGCCACGATAGTCGGTAAGTATTAACTTATAAATACATTTATATACATTATTACAAAGAGTGAACATCTAAATATAGTTTAAACTTTAAAGTCTCAAAAACGTGTAGGCGGGTATATTACAAAAGGTATACATTTCAGAATAGTTCTGATGTTGTTAATCTATAAAAACAAAATCATTAAAGCACTCGGTTTGTGTATAATATAGAAAGTATGTTAATAATTGTCTAGTTAAGTAATAATTATATTATACAATGCTTAAATTAATAAAAGATAATGTAGTTGCTTACTATGCTGGAAATATATAAATTAAATATTTAAATGCCAATGAAATAATAAGTACACAGATATCGCCCTTACGTTCTATCTTGTAAACACTCAACAGTCTACAGTGGAATAATATTAAAATTTGAGCTAAGTTTTCTAGTGGTTATTGGGTATGGACTTACAAGTTGTTATTACTGTTCCCAACATTAAAAAAATTATTTTCTAAAAATTTGCATTTATTAAACACTACTTAGTCAATAAAAAAATAGTCAATTTCATAAATGATAACTTGGTTTCGAGAAGGCACGGATCTAGAGCAAAAACACAAATAAGCAATTACAGTATTATACTATTATACCTATATACTTAATTCTTGTAGAAATGTTTGTGGAGTATTGTATTGACTTGTATTAATTTTCAAATTTTAGATACTAAAAGAAATGAAATTAAAATCATTTTCAAATATTTGTGATGTTGACGAATTTTGTTAAAATTCTAACTTCAGGCGCTCATAAAAATTATTGTGAATTTACTTTACTTTTTTTTTAAATTTTCACTAACCACAGCTTAGGAGGAACGGTATTATATTTTAAACTTTTTTGACCGAACGAAAGTTGTTTTAACAACAACTAGCTGTTTCACCCGCCATGCATCGTTTTCCGTGCCAAAGATTTGTTTTTTTATAAACATATTTGTAAACAAATGTATACACCATTTTCTACTAATTTATAATAATAGTAATATAATATGTAACCAACTGCAATCATATAAATAAACAAAAAAAAATATTCTTATGTGAGCTACCTTTTAGCTACCTATAAGGGTTGAAAAAATAAGCCATCAACGCCCCTCCTAAGTCTATTGATATAACTTTTCTTGAAAACGGTCCAGTAGTTTTTGAGTGTAATAACTTCGGATAAACCAACGCGGGTGAAAAATAAAGTGACCTGGAAATATCAACATATTATAAATGAAAATAATTATCATATCATAATAACAATTATATATTATGTGTACCTATTGCCAGTAGCAACTATTTATATCGAAAAAAAATACTAATTTCTACTAATTCTACTATTTTTTAGTTTTGCTATCTATTACTATTACAAACTGTAAGATGTAAGAATGTAGTCAATGTGGCAACCTTTTATAAGCAAATAAAACATTTTCGATTTCCATCGTGAATCTCAATATGCTTCTGTGAGTGTGATCACCTCTTTCTGGGAAACTATTCCAGTTTTTCTTTCAGTAAAAATCCTATTCGGACTATTACGAATATTAAAAAAAATGAGCCACGTCGGTCCGAGCGATGCAGTTACCCACGGACAGCATTTAATTTTTATTATTATATAATTAAAAAAAAAAATTAGTAAAAATGTCTTATGCTGTAAACCTAATCTTTTTAAATGGCTCAAAAAGAACCAAAATATTTTGAAAATGTTATGGCGCAGTATACACAATGTTTGTATAAAGAATCAGTGAACCTTTCTTGTATGTATGATTATTTTTTTTAGAGATTCACCAATAAATAAAATTAATATAGTTAAAAACTGGTTTTGGGTAAAAATACCCGTATTTTCCTATTTTTTTTTCGGTATAATTACTGAGAATTTCTATTTTGATCTCTTGAATACACAAACTAGACTAGCTTTCTATATATATAGCTAACCAAGTTTTTTGTTTTCGGTTCTCAGGATATACTATTATAGTGTCGACTGAGCCCAATTTAATTTTTAAATACATAGGTAGGTACTCTTGCAGTGGTGCAAATCACTCCACTGCAACAACAACAGAAGAAGTGGACGGGTATCATAGGTATATAGTTGTGAACGTCTTAAAATAACGTGATTAATTTAAAGAGCAGCTGTCATTGTCATATAGCTTTTTCTATTCTACCGTATCGAAATGATAAATATACAACCGCTGTGTGGCGGTGCATGCGGTCAAAATGTCTCTTGCGTCGTTGTTTATTTTAAACGATATTACTCATTGACAAAAGCTGTAAGTCACCCGGTAAATCGTATATTGCAGGTATCGATGTGTTACGTTGAAGTGCGTATACCTACTACTGTTTAGTTTACTAATCTTCTTTAATCGTAGTATAAAATATTGTACATTGTTATAAATGAAACGCTTAATATATTTCGATCACTGCAGCAGCGTCATCCGACTCATCCGAGTACAAACGTATCTGTATACTTAAGACTTAAATGCATATTATTATATATTTATATTGTTTCTTTTTATGCAAACTAAATATTTATGATTTTGGTACGCACCTGCAAATTCAAATATAGGTATAGTTGTGCTTGTGCAAAAACGCACAACACCGAGATGGGCATAAAGATTAACATGATGTAATAAAAGAATAAAAGAAAACGCATTCAGACTTTCTGAATTCTAAGTAAATGCTATTCGACCCGTCCAACGTTTTATAATTTATTATTATAAAATATAAATTATATGTTATGATGATTATATAGGTAGATACAC